CTAATGCCTAGTTGTAGTCTATTCTTGAAAATAATACTTTTTTTAAGCAAAAAATAGGGGAGATCTTTCCCCTTTCATATATTTATAAAAACATAAAAGTGTATAAAAAAAGGATACAAGCATGCATCCAAAGATGGTTATTAATGGAGCAGAGTATTTCATGCTGATAAACTTGAAGAAATTTCTCCCTAAAATGCATCCATGATGGTGAAGAGAGGACCATAGTCATCATTCACCACAAGCATAGATACACATAGGAGCCAAAGCCAGCCCTTCACCAAAAAGATCTAAGTTTAGAAGATATAAAACAAAAATAACCCGACAAGTGTTGGGGAATACCCGGGGCTACGATAAACCCCTAAAACAGAAAAATGCTATATAAAAAAAAGTACATCAAGATTTACGAGGTTCGGAAAACTTGCCTATGTCCTTGGGAGCAACACAATTAATTTCTTATTAATCAACAAAAAATTACAATGTAAGAGTAGATCCTCCCAATAAATGAAAGTTCATTACTATAGCTACAGTAATAACCCTCTCTTTAAATACCCCCTATTTAATTCTCTCCCTCAAAATCTCTCTCTTTAATTTCCCTCAAATCTCTGAGCGCTGAAAAATTCGCGAGAGGAGAGAGAAGAAGATCTGCCACCGCTGAAAAGAATGCGAGAGGAGAAGGAGAAGCTACACAATCTTGTGCTCGGGGTTTCCCTTTTATAGGAAAACCCTAGCGACAGGCTGGCGACAGCCATGCGCGCGCGACCTCGCCTGTGGGTGCCTTGACATTGCCTGGATCTTGCGTCGAGCTCGCCTGCATCGCCCCAAGCTAGCCTGCGGAGCTGCGTCGCCTCAAGCTCACCTGACGCAAGCCTTGAGCTCGCCTACAACTCGCCAACGACCTCGACTAATCTCGAGCTTGCCTGCACAATGCTCGAGCTCGCCTGAAGGAGCTCGACCTCACATGAAGCACGTCGCCTCGCACTCGCCTGCAACCTTGCTTGGCCTCGCCTGAACTTTGACCTCGAGCTCGCCTGACGATCTTCTCAAGCTCGCCTCGAGCTCGCCGTCGACCTCGCTTGCTCGCCTGCGGAGGTTTGTGTCTACACCCGACACTAACAATCTCCCACTTGGAGACCAAACCACCGTCAGCAGACTATCTCAATAAGCACTTACTTCTGTATGGCTCCGCCCTCATCATCCATGCATGAAGGCTAACTGAAATTACGCATAACTCTAGTTTCTGAATGGTCACCGTCTTTGTTAACATATCTGCTGGATTCTTACTTCTTAGAATCTTCTCCAGTTTTAACATATCATCTACCAACATGGATCTGATGAAGTGGTACCGAAGCCCAATGTGCTTCATTCTAGAATGAAATGCGGAATTCATAAGCGAGTGAATCGCACTTTGACTATCACTGTAGAAAACATTCTTCTCCTATTTGAATCCCAGCTCTGTTAACAAACCCTGAAGCCATATCATCTCTTTACTGGCTTCAGTCACTGCTACATACTCAGCTTTTGTAGTGGATAAAGGGCTTCAGTCACTGCTACATACTCAGCTTTTGTAGTGGATAGAGTGACAATCTTCTGTATCTGTGACATCCAACTAACAGTTGTAGTTGTGACAGTGAATATATAGCTGGTGGTGCTTCTTCGGTAATCGACTTCACCTCCGAAGTCTGCATCTACGTACCCTTGCACTTCTACTTCTCCCTTATTAAAGTGCAAACACTTCAGTGTGATGTCTCGTAGATACCTCAGAATCCACTTGACCGCTTCCCAATAAGCTTTTCCTGGATTCGATATGAACCGGCTGACAACTCCCACTGCATGGCCAATGTCTGGTCTCGTACAGACCATTACGTACATCAAGTTCCAATGGTTGAGGCGTAAGGAACATTAGTCATACTCTCTTTCTCTTCTTCTGACTGAGAAGACTGATCCTTTGACAGGAAAAAATGGTTAGCCAAGGGTGTGCTGACTGGCTTGGCGTCACCCATATTGAATCTCTGCAAAACACGGTTGATGTACTCTATCTGAGACAACTGTAAGAGACCTCTCTTCTTATCTCTCGTGATTTGCATCCTAAGGATCTTTTTTGTTGGACCCAAGTCTTTCATGTCAAACTCTTTTGACAACTGTTGGTTCAAACTTCTGATATCCTCCATATCTGCACTTACAACCAACATATCATCAACCTACAGTAGTAAGATGATATAACTAGACTGATATCTTTTGAAGTAACAACAGTGGTCGTCGTTGCACTTCTGAAAACCTTCCTTATGCATGAAGTCGTCAAATTTTTTGTACCACTATCTTAGGGCTTGTTTCAGGCCATACAAGCTCTTCTTGAGTCTGCACACCAGGTTCTTCTTCTTCTTTTCTGAGAAACCTTTTGGCTGGTGCATGTATATCTCCTCTTCTAGATCTCTGTGAAGAAACATCGTTTTCACGTCTAACTGCTCGAAATAAAGATCTTCAATAGCTACAATACTCATCACTATCCTGATAGTATTGAGCTTCACCACTGGAGTAAAAATATCGGTGTAGTCAATTCATTCCTTCTGCTGGAATCCTTTGACAACTAGCTAGGCTTTATATCTTCTGGAACCATCATGTTCCTCTTTCACCCGGTACACCCATTTATTGTGGAGTGCCTTCTTACCCGTGGGAAACTTAGCTAGTTCCCACATCTGGTTTGAGATGAGAGACTTCATCTCATCTTTCATGGCAATCTCCCACTTGCTCGCATCTCTACTCTAACAAGCTTCATCAAAGCTTTCAGGCTCCCCTCCATCTGTCAACAACAGATAGTTCATATATCTCATGTTTGGCTTAGGAGGCCGAGAAGATCTTCTTAATATCAGAGCTGGTGTGTCGGGCTCTTGCGCACCGATCTGTCCAACAGGCTCTTCTGGCTGAGGACCTTCTGCATTGGGTTCTTCCAAGAGGTTACTTGGGACATCATCTGCATCTACAAATGTTGACTTTCTCTCTAGGTTATCTGTCTTGTGCATGTCCTTGTACATCACCTTCTCGTTGAATATCACATCTCTACTACGGATCACTTTCTTGTTTTCGTTGTCCCAAATGTGATAGCCAAACTCATCTTCACCATAGCCGATGAAAGTGCATTTCTTGGACTTAGGATCAAGCTTATTCCTACCTAGATCACTAATATGCACGTAAGCTATATAACCAAAAACTTTGAGATGTGAGAGTTTTACCTCCTTTTCGCACCATACCTCATCTGGTATTCTGTGCTCCAATGGAACCGATGGCCCTCGATTGATCAAGTAAGCTACTATGTTGACTGCTTCTGTCCAGAACTGCTTCGGTGGGCCTGACCGTATATGAATACTTTTGGCTCTCTCTGTCATCGTTCTGTTCATCTGCTCATCTACATCATTATGCTGAGGCGTGTCGGGCATGGTTCTCTCCATTCTGATCCCGTGCTCATAGCAGAACATCTTGAATCTGGTGTCTTCATACTCACCACCATTGTTGATCCTGAGCTTCTTTATTCTCAGACCGATCTCATTCTCTACTATAGCTTTCCATCTTCTGAAAGCCTCAAATACTTCTGACTTATGCTTTAGAAAGTAGACCCACACTTTTTGAGAGTGATCATCGATAAAAGTCACGAAGTAGTGTTTCCCACTAATAGGCGCGGTGGTGGTTGGTCCCTAAACATCTAAGTGAACGAGCTCTAGCTTCTCTTTCTTGAGGGTTCTGCCACTTGTCTGAAATCCGACTCTCTTCTGCTTTCTAAATATGCATTCTTCACACATGTCTAATTCAACTGATTCTAGACCTAGGAGTTTTCCATTTGTATGCATGATCTTCATCCTCTTCTCACTCATATGACCGAGTCTCTGGTGCCATAACTTTAAAGTCTCATTGTCTGCTGCAACTGAGATCAAACAACGTGCACCTACTGTCATATATTGATACAGGTGTATCTTCTCTTCGGGAGCTTAGTGATCCTCATGGGAACTTGAGGATAGATGATTCTCATGCTAGAATGAGAATAGAGGTGTGAAACAATACAGTGGAACGCAGGTGGAAGCGTGGAACGAGACGACGAGCAGCAGATTCGAAGAATCCAGTTTTTCGCTCGTGAGTCGACTCATACATGAACATGAGTCGACTCATCAGGTTGAGTCGACTC